GAAAAAAAAAGAAACAGAAAGGAACTCACCTAGGAATCAAAACACTAATTCTTTTATGCAACATCGAGGAGGAGGAAACTTCATAAGTTCATGTATAAGCTCGAAGAATGAAAAAAGAAACAATAAGAAACTTACCCTAAATGAAGCCCCTTGCTTTTTGCTCATTTCTATCCTGAATCAAAAAAGAAAATAGAAAAGAAAAGCCATTAAGTTTCATCCACCTTTCCTTGAGTCAAAACAAACTCTGGTACCTGAATCAATTGCAATTAAAAGAAAAAAGCAGGAAATCAAGCCAATTCCTCCTAATAGCACTCGGAGCGGTCCAAGTAGCGTTGGGGCGCGCTCTGACGCGTACCGACGATCGCGGCGATCGCCGCTGCTGTCGCGAAGTATGAACGCTGCCTTACGCAAGCGCACGCTGGTGACGCTGGCATACGCTAGATCGATATCTATCCTTTCCTTGTCACTGCCGCTGGCGAACGCTGGAAACGCTAGCGTACGCTGCCGCAAAGTATGAACGCGTAGTGAAAACAAACAAATGGTGAAAAGATCGCGGGACTCATTCAATCCACTGTGAAAGGCCCTGGTGAATTGCATAATTATGTGGTTTGGCTGATGGAACGGAATGTTGTTTACATTGTCGCACCGGAATTGAATTGAACTATGAAAATGCTGGCTTTTGCAGGTACCATATCCTTTTTAGGGGCTGTTCTGTTGGAGATTGCTCCATTTTTTAGTAACTTTAGTAATTCGTACGAACGGCCTCTGGTCGAATATACGGCTGAGAAATACATGCCCATTCTCATAAAGATCCTAAATGGTCCCATGATTAACATAATGATGATGGTAATGATCAGTTCATGCTTCGAATTTATGCGTTGTGCAATTCAATCACTGCAGTATGCAATTTAACCAATTTAGTGTACGGTATTAGGAGTGCGGTGCGGCTACACACGCCACAATTTCACAGCACGCCTAATCGCTACTCTCCTACTCTCCCATATTCTATCCCCACCGCTGCAAATGCTCGTGAAACGCTGGTGAAATGCTGCAAACACTAGTGAAGCGCTGGAAACGCTTGATCGATACCTAAACTTTCCTTGCCCGCTAAGTAGATCGCTAACCGATTACCACTGGTAGAGCAAGGCAGCCAGAGGCGGGCTCATTCTGTCCCTCTTGCCACCACCCAGACTGGTTGCGACGTGAAAAGAGGGTCGCATAGAGGCGAAATTCCCCCTCAACCCGACCCTCTTTATCTTCTCTGCTAGTACGACCCCCATTGTCCGTTATGTGAGAGGTGTGGGGAGGGATGGGTGGACATCTCTGGGACATCTCTGATCAGCTGTCAGAAACAATCCATAGCGCGTCTGAAAGGGAAAAAACCAGGAAACAAAAAAGTTCCATCATGTACATAACTACAGCCTGCTCTCTTCAGCGGCCAATCGTTACATTCCGTTGCAGGATTTCTCGACGTATTCCTTACCCCGTGATGAAATGGTAATTCATACGTTCGGGCCCATAGCTGGTCACAAAACAATTAGTGGTGCGTTTTTGATCAGGTGACAAGATAAGCGTGGGTTGATAGCGAGTAGCGCATTTATCACATAGGCTGCAAGTTTCGCCAGCTAAGCATGGGTTGATACCGTGGGAGCTACTTATCACATAAGCTAACAATTTCGCCGCTTACCTTTGCTGTTTGGTCGGATGGTCAGTAGTTGCCGCACGCACGGTGGCCATACGACTCATGGTACATAATTTACTGTGTCGTGATATTTTTATATGCTTTTCACTAAGAAGGTTGTGTGAATGGTTTTTTATTCGTCCTGTACTGGACATCCATACAAGTTCTTCCTGGTCTTTGAAGTGACTACAAAGTTTTCGTTACCAGAATATGAAGAAAGGTGCAATGGTGTCTCAGATTTACTTGTTCTGGTGTTTCACAATTTGTTTGTAAATCATAAGTCTGCGTTCATGCTTTGCATCAACGTACGGCAGCGTTACAAGCGGCTAAAAAAGTATAGGTATCGATCTAATGGAACGCCAGAGTTTAGCAGCGTTTTCGCGGACAGTTTTGCTCAAGCCGGGCACATCATTAACTTGGGATTTTGGTCAAGTCCGTACGACCCCTGCCCTTTTTTGAAGCGTTGGTACGACCTCCTCCCCTGGTTCCCTCCAGACCTCCACGACCACACTCTATCATTTTCTCAGATTTTCCCCAACTTCTTACCACATTTTCCGGAATTTCCCGAAAATTTTCCTACTTTTACCCAAAAATTTTGCTGTCGAGCGGGGAGGGGTATACATGTGAAACAGGAGAAACCACAAAAAGTCAACAATCTCTCAGAGAGTCAGAAGGAGAATGCGACCCACCCCTCTCAACGACGAGCAAATGCGACCCCCTTTTTTAGAACCTCCCTGGAACAAGAAAACTCAACTATCAACAAAATTTTCTCAGCTCAACTACGACCACCCCCCCCCTCCCTCTCCCAGCGACCAGATACAACTCCCCTGTTGGGGAATCCAACTTCATGTAGGCGCTGTTTATCGACGGGGGCCATTTTGCATTATAATTCTTCCCGTTCGGTTAACAAATACATCACCCTGGTAAAGCTTGTAAACCTGTGAAGCTGGAGCAAGATCGTCTAGCCACCATCCTAAAACGTGTCAACTCGAAAAAAGGGTACCTAGATGGGTTGGCAAATCTATGAAAAGCAGAATGCCCCCCCCCTCCCGTCGATAACAGCGCCCTTCATGTGCCCTGGCTCAAGCTCAAGTTGCTCGCGGAAACACTGGCGTACGCTGGCATGCGCTGGTGTTCGCTAGACCGATATCCATAGTTTCCTAGTCGCTGGCGTTCGCTAAGTCGATGTCTATATTCTCCTAGTCGCTGCTGCCATACGCTCGAAAAGCCTGCCGTATGCTGGCTCACGCTCACACAAGGTGTGAACGCAACCGAAGGCACCCACCCGCGTTGCCAGCCACTGTTCTTGTCATGAACTCCTTCTAATGTGTCTGACAGGGAATGGTTTGAATTCCCATGGAACTTTGAATGGAGACCTGGGTACATCGATAGAGCCTCGAATTCTGATTACGATATCAGATTAAAAGGGCTTGCGGCATCCAGAAAGAGATCCTGGAGGTCAGAGTTTGTCGAAAGTCAGTTTTGCTCGTAAGGCGCCTGCTGATCGTTATGACTCGGCAGCAGTGACCACCGTGGCCTTGTGGTAACGGGTCTCGCTTTCAAGTCAAACGCATGTGGGTTTGCATCCGATTGGTGCAGTGATTTTTGCTTTGCTTCTATAAAAGCTTTCACCCTAATTTTCGAAATTCCTACGAGTTTACGGGCCAAGCAGAGCAGGTAGATCGCGTTATGACGTACTCGATCTAGTATGGATTTGGTCATATCTGCCCTTTAGGGTGAACAATTAGCCCCACATCAACAATTCAAAGTTGTGTGACGCAGAACAGCAATTTGGCCAGACGCAGCGTTTTTTCGTGCAAGCCATGTGATATTCGTTTGTTCAGGGGTGGTCGAAATCTCCAATGGAACGAGTTTCTCTGCGACCGAAACTATTGAATTGACTCGGATGTGTAATATGTTCAGGGAGGGCAGATATGACCAAATCATACTAGATCGAGTACGTCATATACTTGATGTACTTGATCTAGTTGCCCTACTGGGCCGTAAACTCGGAAGAATTTCGAAAATTAAAGTTAAAGCACTTATAGGGAGCGAAGCAAAAACTCTTCGCGCCAACCGGATGCAAACCCGCATGCGTTTGACTTGAAAGCGAGACCGTTACCACAAGGCCACGTGGCACTGCCGAGACATCGATCAGCAGCGCTTACGAGCCAAAACTGACTTTTCGCAAACTTTGACCTCCCAGATCTCGTCTGGGAGGTCCCCGTAGCACTTTTAATCTGCATATTCGTAATCAGCATTCGAGGCTCTATCGATGTACCTAGGTCTCCATTCAAAGTTCCATGGGAAGTTCAAACCATTCCTCGTAAATACGAAGTACTAATTCGCCCACGATTTTCGATTTGATTTTATCGAACTGAGTCGTGCTTATCAATGTGGGTGGTGCCTGAATAGTGCTAGTCCAGCCGTCAGTTATCCTTTTTATTTGTGCTCTCATGGAGATGAAAAGACGAGCTCATCTTTTTCGTTATTGCAAGTATCACAGTCTTGTTCACTGCTGCTGGTGGGGCGTGTCAATGGGCTGGATTTGACGAGGCGCCAGCTTGTTCTCCACCAACTGTTGTCGCTTGTCCGATACAACAGCTAGTGAAAAACGGGTTTGGTGCCTCGTCAAACCGAGGCCCCAACTACTTGATACGAGGAATATGCAGTGTTTGGGGATATTGTTGGGATTTTTGAGATAGGGGCGGCCTTCCTGTTGAATGGCCGATAATTTTTACTGGAACGGCAATTGTTTGCAAAACATCAGTAGAGTTCAAAAAAGAGACCTACCTTTTCTTCAGGGTAATAGTTGACTTATTTTTGACGTTCCCGGGGTTTATGAGATAAAAGCGTTGGGGATGCATTCAGGGAAACTCCGACCTGCTTGAAAACCCTGTTTCCTTTGTACTATTTCAAGTAAGGCGTGATGAAACACTCAAGAGTGCATCTGGGACGGATCCCGTCCTGGAATAGAACTGGGCAGTGGTGTTTAGCACCCATTAGCTTCATCTCAGAGGCGCTATGCATTAGGCTCCCTTACAGAGGTTGTGAGATGGTGCACTTCTACGTAAGGCCGCAGCGTTCATAGCTTGCTACCGTGAAGTAATGCAAAAACAAAGCCGCATCCTGCAGAAATGCACGAAAAAGCATTAGATAGCTATTGGATTCGAAAGAAATGCAGAAATGCTGATATTGCAGATAAGGTGAAATGCAGAAATGCGGAACCTGGAGAAGGGTTACGGGGCAGATGTCAACCAGACGATCTCTCGCTGCGAGGGTCCAGGGCTAATTTCACGGGGCATCTACCAGTCCAGCAGTTGAAGGGGAAGGTAAAGGAGGAGGGATCAGGAAGGAAGAAAAAGAAGGAAGGAGGGAGAAAAAAGGAAGGAGGGGAGAAGCTTTCCCGGTTGACATGTGCCCTGAGACGCTGGAGAAGTGTGGACTGGGGAAATGCGGAATCTGCAGAAATGACCAAAAGGATGAGGTACTCATCGAATTCCGCAATTCTGCATTTCTGCAGATTCCGTATTTCTGCATTTCTTCAAATGGATATGTATTTAATGCTTTTCGTCATTTCTGCAGAACCGCATTTCTTCATTTCTGCAGTTCTTCACGGTCGCAACCTATGAACGCAGCCCAGTGCGTGTCTACTCAAGCAGGTGTGTTCTCAGCATTCACAAATATCCATGGTCTACTCACGGACTTGCTTAAGGTATACTGTTTAGTTATCTATTTACTTGCGAACTTCAACGTCAACTTATTAATACTGTAAGTTATTTTCACTTTGATTTTTTTGGCGCTCTTGACTCTGCTCTGTTCGGTGTCGACTGCTACTCTCCTTATGACATCTCCCCCCCCCCTCCCACCTCGACGGTCATATACCCCTCCCCCTCCCCCCGTTGGGGAATCCCCAGCGATGGTGTGCCCTGAGCCCGAATAGCGGCAAACGCGGCAAAAAGGCATTCAAGCCAGGCCATTCGATTCAAGACCCCCATCGACTGGATGTAGCAGTACTGTTTTGTGTCGAGTAAACTAGCTAGGGAGTAGTATGCTGGTTTGCGCGCTACGGCGCTACTCAGGACTAAGATACACTTCTTTACTATGTCGGAGCATAATCTGGCTAGCTTGCTGAATGGCCCATGGCCTCCCTCTGAACATCTGCACTTCCTCAAAAATTTATTACATTACATCCTTGGCTGTTTTACGCTTTCTCTCGGTAAAGAGGTAATAGAGGCTGAGCAGGTTACTAAGCAGCAGGTCTAGGACCGTTAGAACCGCAAATGCTGCCTTTTCTTGTATTCCACCACGTGATCATAGCCATTTGACATGGACATCCATAGAAAACCGTAGTCTAACTACAAGAGGGGGGCCTTGTAATGAGCCTTTGCAAAACTTATCCTTCTTGTAGTAGGTCCAAAATTATAACTCATGATAAGGCCCAGCCTGAAATGTATGGATGGGTTCAAATGACGCGCTCGAACACGCCACTTACGTGTTCTCCTGCAACGAAACGGAGGGAAAAGAAACTATAGGCTTCCGTATTGTCTAGCAACCAAAATCATCAACGGGTGCTATGCTTGCTATGCGATCAGGCGTTGTTTTGCATGCAGTCGCCGCGAGTACGTCTCTTTTCTAGCTCACGTTTGCTCTTTTTTGTTAAATGCACATGAAGCCGTTTTTTTTCCTCTCAGAATATCGCCGGTTTCTCTATTTCCTGGAGATTCCTTGCCTTCATGTTCTTTTATTCATTTGTAATTTAGTAATAGTTGGGATATCCTATGTGCTCATTTCTCTCTTCCTCATTTTATCTTTTTGAAGAAATCCTGGACCCCTGACGTGAAAGGGATGCTTGTCAATCCAGCAAAGTTGCTGGTAAGACGGGCCCACAATTCCTTCAACTTTCCTACTTTATTAGGAGCATTTCACAAACGTAGTGTAAGTTCTCTCTTGTTCTCCGTCGATGTATGCGCTGATTTAATATCGGAGATTAGGGCTGTTCTGTTTTGATAGAAGCAATATTTTTACGAAGTGGAATCAAAATGGTTACTACATTATTAGAGCATGTCAGTCGGCCAGGAGCGTTTCGTTTACCGTACCGTAAGCGGTATTCGTTGTCACGCTACTTAACTGGCGAGAAATATAAAATACTGTTTGTTGACCATTCCGTCTCTAATAGTTATCTTTTTTAGATGGGTTTTGTTGCTGACGAGGAACCAAACAAGCATGAGTTCCCGACTGGCGCATTGATATCAAAGGAAGAGAGTCAGCAGGTATTTTTCACGTTTTGTTTTCCCGTGAAATCGATTATGGTGTAAACAAAATAAGTTTTCCGGCGCTATTCCAATATGACGGGACGTTGCCAAACAGTTTGAGCCACCACAACTATTTTCTTATGTGAAAAAAACCTTTTTGTCTATTGATATGCTGTAAACTTACCTTCAAAGATCCTGATCCTTGCCATGTGCGAGGTGGACGGTCCATGCAAGTAGGCTACTTTCGTCAGTGCGCAGAAATGAAGCGGATTTAGTGATAGCCAGATGCCGTTTCGGGCTCCACCCACAGGCAAAGTACGCAGGCGCAACACGCCGCTCAACCACGCATACACCGGATTATAGTCAAGCGCGCGACTGGCCGGCACCCACCTGGTGCATTGGCGTCAATGCCCCAAGTTGTAGATAGGTTGATGCATATGTTTTAACCCCGACTTTTTTGTAAATTTGATCCTTCCGTATTTCGTTTGCATGGATGTTGGTATTTCGTCATCACGTGTGCGTGACGTGTACATGATACTCTTTCATCACACTAGCTATCACTCACCCACCCTGCAGGCTACAATGCCGCACAATTACCACTGCAAAATCATGTCACAGTGGTGATTGTGCGGCATTGTGGCCTTCTTCGGGTCCCAGCCCCCGTCCTTCTGGGAGGATGGAATCGACAAGCTGCCTGAGCGTTGGCGTCGAGTAGTGGATGGTGATGGTGCATACCTCTAATCTTCAGGCTGGTTCGCTATTGAGATATTTACAAAAAAGTCGGGGTTAAAAACATATGCAATCTAATAGCTCGTGGAGCCTGAAGGGACACCTAACTAACTCAACCATCCATCTTCATTTCCTCACCCTTTTGAGCGATAAAAGCGGCTTACTTCTGCGGATGCGCATCAGTCCAGCTCAATCGTCAGTCCTGCATCAGGATCCATTTGTAGGCAATCGTACAGCCTATCTTCATAGTGAGTCACCCAATCCGTAAGCTGTTTATCCCTCATCCACTTGGTCCAGTGTCCCCCGAATCATAATAATTTCTTCGCTTTTTCCAGTTTTGATTCCGGTCCACCATCTAAAAACATTTAGTGGCGTGGAAACAAAGCTTGTCGCACCTATTAGATTTTTGTGCAAGATTGGAAGTTCCGTAATACGAGGAGCTACTGTAACAAGATGCCGCGTTATATTGGAGTAGCGCCTTATCGTGTTTATATTACCATTTCATTATATTTGTTACTTTTCTAGCCGTCCTTGATTGAAAAGTATGGCCCAAACGCTGACGGAAGGAATGTAGTGATCGCCGTTCTCGACACTGGTGTGGATCCTTCATTACCTGGATTGCAGGTTAGTTCCTGAAGCTCCTATGCATGAGATGTTTGTTCCTTAGTTATCGACATGGAATGCTTTTTAGTTTGTTAGGGTTCCTTTGACGAAAAAGTGGGTCCCTTCAAGTGCAAAAGAAAACATCCAGGAGAGATGGAGTAGGCTTTTTCGTAGGCTCAAGCGGTTTCCTGTGGGCGTAGTCTTCGTCTTGGGCGATTCCAGAAGACAGTGGGTTATAACGAGGTTGAAAACAATCGAGAAGTATCAGTGTGAAATCAGTGGAGGTGACGGACTGAGTTTGGGTTCCTTTTGAACTGACCTACCTGGTTCAGTCTTCGTTAGATTTTTTTTTCTTCTTTCTACTTTGTTTCTCCTTCTCTCTTCTAAGTGATTGTGTGGTGAAGGACCTCTATGCACTTTCGGGAACTCTCACCCGAATGAAATTTGCATGATGATTGCGTGTTTTTTTTCACACTATGCAGTTCCACTTGATTCCTTGTCCAAACACAGCACTGAACTGAAGCATTGCGGAACTAGAAGGAGGATATTATACTGTTAACACGTTCGCGGCGGCGCCGTTTCGTCAAAAACTCCCGTTTGTCGAGCGACGCGTTCGCGGCGGGCGACACTTAGGCAGTCATCCCGTTCATGGTTGCGCGCTCGCGACGGAACCATAAACGCCTAAAAATTCACGAAAGCCGTTTTTCGCCATTCTTTTTACATTTTTCCCTTCTACAAGTTTTATCTAAGTTTCGGTAAATGAACTAGCTTTCTTGCCCTTTTTGATGTTCACTGGTACCGCACAAAGAGGATGTAGACTTTGATTCTTGTGGAAGTTCTTAGTTCCTCTTGTAAAACCACTACTGCCTCACCTGGTTCCGAAAAATACACGAGAAATGTTTTAAGCATTACTTGTATATTATTTGTTTTATGGTTTGTTCATAATTGCCGGTGAAAAAAAGAAAAAAAATCATCAAAAGACGAGCGAAGAGGCGCGTGTACTCCCAAGAATGCACGATTCACTAAAGAGGAAAGTTTTTGAAGCTATTTTTTTTTTTTCGAGGTATACGCGTCTTCTTCTAATGTGTGGGTATTAGTTTCTCTATTGTTTTATTATTATTTATTTCCAATTGTTAGTGAGAAAAGAAAAATAAACTACAAAAACCAGCTATTAGGCGGCGTGTACTCCCGGGAGTACACGCCGCCGCGAACGTGTTAAGAGGACAATACGCGAATCGATTTCATCAGTTTTCTACGTAGGCGAAGTTAATGAAGTCGTTTCGTATTTATCTCTTTTTCGCGGATTCTCCCAACTATCGCGACTCGTGCTATATTCCTCGCTCCTTCAGTGTCACCGATTAGCCACTCTTCCAGCCTGAGGGGTCGAGGCCTAATTACACAGCCATGTTGGCAGGGGCTGTGGTTTGCGCGGCCTGGTGCCAACCCGTTCTCTTCCAAATTATGGCGCTTGTCACGCCTTTCAAATTGGGGGAACGGCTTTGAGCCGCGCAGACCCAGCCCTCCCCTCCCCCCCCCCCCCGATTACGCTTCCAGAATCGCCGCGAACAAGTCGGCCCGCCCTGAATTCGATCAGGCGACCATAGCCTGGAACCGAAAAGAATTGGCAAGAGTGAAGGAAGACAACGTATTTAATCAAGATTTCGCTATCTCAACAGCTTTTGCCGCCCTACAGGATATCATCCGTGACCTTCCGTCAAGAAAGAAAGATTCTGCCTTTCTGCTTCTATGTGGGCTATTTCCAGTGTTGCCATCCGTCCACTCTAATTTGAGTATTAGCAAAGTCTGCAAGCTTCAATGCATCCTCTTATCTGAACATGAAACACGTGAAAGAGGCGCCAAAAAATTTATTGCAAAAAACTCAAAAGACTCAAAAGAATCCAAAAGTTCTTGCAAAAAATTTTGTTTCTAATACTTCCTTCGAATATTTCGGTGCCCTAGCACCTTTTGGATTCTTTTGAGTCTTTTGAGTTTTTTGCAATAAATTTTTTGGCGCCTCTTTCACGTGTTTCATGTTCAGATTACAATGAGGCTCCGGGACAGCACCATATTAAGATACTCATTATGTTAAGTTCGTTTGGGCTTGTTTTAAAATCAGGTATCGATGTTGAACGACGTTTCCAAAGATTTTGATGACGTGCCTTCACTCAAGCCGGTTAAGACGTTCCAATTTGTGTAGCTAAAGGGTGGTTCAGGAAAACTGAGGAACTGGTTATCACGCAACGTCGTGCAGTGGTTGCTTGTTCTAGAGAGAAATGGGACAGTACTGCTGGTTACGGGTCACATTCGGCACGCAGTGTAATCCCTGAGTTATATTTCCCTCCGGCCTAAACCGTGTGTACGATTCTCCCCTCAGCCTGGTGACCGAAATTACAGTTAGCGGTTCTTGAGTTAAGGGCCTGTTTAATAGGTTTTTCCTCAAAAACTTATTCATTATCTGCTCTGTATGTTCCAAATATAGTCTGGTTCGTTGCGGACAAAGGGGCGTGCAGGGAGGGGGGGGGTGAGTTTGGCACGCTGCCAAACCCGTTTTGCACCAGTTGTTGAAGCGAGCATTGTGACAAGACTGTATCGTATCGTTCGTAGGCTCGTTTTCTACCAACTGTCACATACCCGCTCGAAAAGCTGACAGAGCACAGCGATGGAGCCGTGGCGCCTTCATACTGCCTGACACGCCCCTTCGTCCGCAGCGAACTAGAGCATAGATCCTGCTGACTCGCATCCTTTTTTGAGTCGCTTTCATACGGAGCGCTGAACTGGAGAAATGAAGAATTCGCGAGAAGGATTGAATGGGAACCAGTTTGGTTGGTCCCGCCCTCTGCGCATTTTAGTGCACAAAGAGTGGAGTCTGAATCGAGAGACCCGATTCCTTACGCGCTTTCTCCGATTTTCAGTTCGATGCTGTGTATGAACTCAGCTTCAGTACCATTTCTCTTGTCTTCGGACTAGGTGAAGGCAAGATCTTCTTGGTTTGAATTTAATGTCTTAGTGGCAGCACTTATATCACTGTTGAAGTTCACGAGTATGACGAGCGCGAACCTTTTTTTTTTCATTCCCATAAAACTGATGGGTATTTTGGCATAAATGCGTCCAACGACGACACTCTTGACAAGCTAGTTCGAGGTTCGTCCACAGGACTTCGTCTTTTGAATATACGCGGTACGGTCGCCTTCTCATGTCTTGGTCCTTGTCATGTGCGAGGTATACATCCGCAGCTGTAGAAATGTGCTTTTCCGTCACTCGAAAGTGCGCTGAAATGAAGCTGAAGGGCAGTGATTAGCTAGGTGCTGCTTCGGACTCCACTCGGCGAAGTAACCTGACACGCAACGGGCAACCAAGCAAACGCTTAA